CATATTGTAAAATCTCCAACAACACTTTTTTTAACATTTGCATCAGAACTAGTGGTTGAATAGAGTAGGGCAGATCTGCCCCATGCAGAAAGTATGTAGCTACACTCCTGCGTAGCAACACTGACTTGGAACCCTGTGGTGTTGACACATTTTAAATCCTAAACATTCCATTTTCCAACACCACTAATGACGTTTGGTAACGTATAATTATTTTTTCGTTGTTTTTTTTTAAATAAATAAGTTATTTTAGAATAAAAGAAAAATGAACAGTTGAATAGATAAAACTGTGGTAATTCATATTGATGACTAAATTAATTTATCCGTTTTGCATTGTGTTGATGTTTTTTTTTTTTTTTTGTTGTTGTTTTTTTTTTCAAATAAGTTCACTTGAAATTTTGAATGCAAAACTAAGTTATTCCCACAGGCATAAAAGAGATTGTGTTCTACATTTTATAAGTTTGCCATTTGCCGACGACATCAACCCCCCCCCCCACTTCCACCCTACTCACCCACTTCAGATTTTCATCAAGTTAAATTAAATTTGTATTTCGTGAGCGACACACACACAAAGCTTCCGCGTCTGCTCTTGTCGCGTGCGCGTGTGTGTCTGGCGGTGTACGTAATTTTGCGCTTTCGGTATATATATATATATATATATATATATATATATATATATATATATATATATATATATATATATATATATATATATATATATATATATATATATATATATATATATATATATATATATATATATATGCCTATTTATAAAGGCTATATACAGTGGCGTGACAAGGCGGGGGCGGTGAGCAGAGCTGCGGTCCTCGACATTTAGGGGGCGACACCAATAACAAAAAATCATAACATTTCCCGTTATGGAAATGTTTTATCCATTTAAAATTTAAGATTATAAAGTAGTAGGGAGGCAGGGGTGACACCAAACACGAAAGTGCCTAATTGCAGGAGCGTGTGGGGTGTCACACTCACATACTGTATTGGGATCGGGTGACACCCGACCTAGTCACGCCACTGGCTATATATATATATATATATATATATATATATATATATATATATATATATATATATATATATATATATATATATATATATATATATATATATATATATATATATACGCAAGGTTTACTGCACTTAAGTGTATTAGAAGCGTATTTTGTTGACATATTTTAAAAACCTCGTTTAACTTAATACCTTTGCCATGTGGAATTATTTTTCTATTCTTTTTTTTTCTTATGTGTTTGACATTAAAAAAAATACAACCCCTGTCCTAAAGTGGTTGTCACACAGTCCATCCAACCCTTGGGTTGTGTCAGACAATGAACTGGATGTCACTGAGACCAGCGCTGGACGGGCCGTGTATTGATTTGACATTTCAGTCTGCGCTTGGAGAGAGAAAAAATCTTTAAGTCTCTGACAGTGTTCAATACAAGCAAAGTTTGCCCAAGATGGGCGAATGATGTGCCCAATTAATCTATTTTAGGGTTCCTTTTTTTCTAGGGAAATTTGACTATGATGGAAGAAAGGGAAATTAAAAAAACTTTCTAAAGAAAGAGAATTATTTAAAGTTTGGGGATTCGCTGCTAAATTAAAAATTAAAAAAAAAACCTGTTTAGAAAAAAAAAATTCTTGCAAAATTCAATTCAGAATTTAAATGAATCTTTTGTCACCACAAAAACAAACGAATCTATTTCCGGTTAGTGTCGCCCTGTAGAAGTTAGCTTAACATCAGCGTATAAATTTACTTACAACTTACATACACATATGAATATATGTTTATGTGTATATTTATACATCCGTATAATATATATGTATGTATATATGTATATGTATATATATATATATATATATATATATATATATATATATATATATATATATATATATATATATATATATATATATATATATATATATATATATATATATATATATATATATATATATATATATATATATATATACATATCACAAAAAGATACTATGAACACAATGAGTTGTTTTTTCTTATTTTTCCTTTATTTTCTCCCTTTTTTGTTTTACATATGTCGTGTCCAGGAAGTTTTCAAATTTGTTTGTACCATGTTTTATCATGGAACAATTATTATCTTTCAAATTTACATTTTTTAACAACCTAACAACATTAATTTCAGAAAATCTGCTGTCTTCAAACGAAGAACGATATTTATATTTGTAGAATACTTTCAAACTTCCCAAAATGTTTTTGTAATGACTGAAGTTTCTTCTTGTCAGTTATTTTCCTAGAGCAAAAAAACCAGTGAAATTAAATCAAACTAAAGATGTTGATCTATAGCTAATCCTTGTGTATACGTTCTATATCTAATCCTGGTGTACAAGTTGTATATCCTTGTGTACACGTTCTATAGCTAATCCTTGTGTACAAGTTCTATAGCTAATCCTGGTGTACAAGTTCTATAGCTAATCCTGGTGTACAAGTTCTATAGCTAATCCTTGTGTACAAGTTCGTTGCCGGCTTTTTTAAAAGTGCCAGTCATATAATTTCGCCCCCTGTTCTATTTCTTAAAACTCGGATTGGCGCACGATCTTTCACCTCTTAACCTGGTCTTCTAGCGAGGATCTTTTCATCCTGCTCTTTCAGGAGAGTCACCCAAGCCACGTGCAGTTGGGTGACCTTGTGATTCAAAGTTTGACCTCAAGGTCAGCGTGACATAAACTACCAGCTAGTCGTAACATGATGAGACAACGGGAGAATAAAGTATGGGGGTGGGGGGTAATATAGGAGGGGTGGGGGTTTAGGGGTAGGGTGGGGTAGAACAGTACAATAGTTACATATTGTCATATACAAGTTTCATGGAATATAGACGAAAATCAACATATATGTATCATTTAGAATGTAGACATAATCAACATTTACATGTATCATATAGATTAAGACATAATCAACATACAAGTCAACAGCGTATGACTTTATCAGTCAATTTGGTTGTAAAATTATAGGTTCATATGAAGCGATGTATGAAACATCATAAAATGAAAATATGAAAACATTCCAATAACACACTGTTTCTTTGTTTAGCCGTTGCTAAGCAACACAAAAACATCGTCTGCTAACAATGGTATTTTAAAAAAATGAGATCTGGAAAATTTTCGATTTAAAATTCTTAGCGTTGGCTAAGATTATTGAAGTGAAACGGATTTAAACATAAATCATCAGTAATCCAGTTCAATTGCAGGGACTATCTTACTAGAGCTAGGATTGGCTAAAACTGTGTAGCAATATTCATATCTATAATGTAGTCTAATTCCTATTTTTATAACGCCCGTCATTTTTAATAGTATGTATGTTATCTTATACTATTTATGTAATATTTATTTTATTTACAATGTAATTTTTATTTTTGTTATAAGTTTAAATCATGCGTGAAGTTTTAAAATACGTATATTTTTTTTATAGTATTTACATGGTATGATACATTAGCAAATGTAAATAAGATAAGATAATCTAAATATAATTAATGTAAACATGTCGTAGGTTTATGTAACACCGTAAATAAGATGATATGGGACATTACTCGTGGAATTATATGGTGTTATAGGTACATAGTTTATCCGTAAAATTGTGTATCAACAAAGAGTTATCGTAGGGTCGGGGTTTTAATTTTTTTAAACGTTACTAGTTATTTCTGATATGACTGATTGTCACCTTTTAGATCTGTATAATTCGTTTGCCATAGGAAATAATACATGTAATATTTCAACATTTTATCTTTAAAGCTTTTTAAAATTTGTTTTGCGTTTTTTCCTATTTTAAACCAAATATTTTTAAAGTTGACATCGGAGGTCTATCGTTTTAAATTACATATGCTTATACAAAATATTTAATTAAAAAAAAACAGGTGCTTTTTAAAAGAGATTCTGTCACTGACAATAGTGATCTCCCTTTGACCAAGGAAGTATAACAGCTTATCTCCCCTGTCCAAGAAGCCCCAATCACCGGATCTACTACTAGCAAGAAAAGAACCAAATCCCAGAAAATGCCGGACTATACACTGAACATACCAATTATTCTGATAAGGATCTATAAGTATGATAAGTTGGTTTCATCGGCGTATAATTGATTACTTGTTTTTTTTTTACTAATTAGGGATATAATACAGTAAAGTTATCATGTGAATCAGGCGAAAGTAACATTAACGTTTTAACTTTAAAAAAAAAGTTTCTGGGACCTATATATACATGAGCTTTATTCGTATATGCTACAAAAAAAATGATATAACAGAATAAAAGAGAATAACAAATATTTGGCCATATAATTTTAAATTAGGATAGTACTTTATATATTGGATGAAACTACCTTTAGAATAGGCTCTATGAATTGATAAGATGTTCCACTTTTATGATTGCTCATGTGGATGAAAATCACATTTTCTTAATTTGTGTTTATTAGAAGCGCTAAATATTTTAAATTTGTTACAGTTTACCTTAACATTGTCCAGCTCTCATTAACTGTGTTGTATCAGATTAATCCAATTTTTTAAAAAAATATTTTAAACTATGAAACTATTTTTGGCTTTAGAAAAAAAAAGATAAGCCATGTGAAGTGGTCGAAGTGAGAATTGAATAGACAAAAAAAAAATCGATGTTGGATCTTTAAACTTAACACCAGGGTCAAACAGTGCAGGTCACAATGACCCAGCCAGTTGTGTCGTGATGATTTTGTGTCCTCTGTTGACCCCAAATCTATTGAATTCATTCCTGGAGAAATTGTACGTCTAACCGAATTTTTAAAAAAAGTATGATATTGTACTGGTGCAAGTTAAATACAAAAGCCGTCTGAGTTAACATGCTCTCAAAAAATGACATATTTTTAAAAAACTAACTACTACCATATGCATTCAATGACATTGTTGGCGCAGTAGTCACATTCTAATCACTCTCGTATTTGTTCAATTAAATTATTTGCTATAATTGAATTTTCACCTAAAACTAATGAAATGACGTCATGATTACATTCTAGACTTCACAAAACCAACAAGTAATCAGCAGCCCAGCCTAAGACAATGGAGTTCCAAAAATAGCAATAGTAAAGCTGTTTAGATCACAGCCTTAAAAATCTTACACTAGACTTGAGCCGTTATTTCGTACATCCATCAATGATAACTACTTGAATTTTCAACCGACATTCTATAAAAATCACATGTTATCAAAACATAAAAAACCACATCAATAAAAATATTTTGTGTACATGATATGGCGATGATAACACAATAGATAACTTACAACAGCAGCAGAAATTAATTTTTTAATTTTTTTTCAGGAGGTGAGATTTGGAGTTTTCATTAAATTTAATTGTCTAGCAAAGTTATCATTTTAAAAAGAAAATCAAAATTTTCAAAAAGAATTATTGGTATTGTAAAACTGGTTTTAGTATAAAAATAAAAAGCATGTTTAAATGTGTACATGTATATTTTTCAAAATTAATTTAACGATTGTTTTGAAATAACGGGGTTAAATAGCCTCGAACTGAAATACTTTGGGCAAATGACGTAAAACGCACTAAAGCGTATCCATTTGGCGTGAAGTGAAAGCTATTTCTTAACCAGGTCTTTTGTTGTTTTTTTGTTGGCTTTATCCGAACGGTCATGACGTAATCTTGCCAGTTTTGATGATGGGGTGCCAGTTGTCCGTGGATCGGTGGGGGTGTTCCATTATCTCGTACCAGTGCTCCAGTTGTTCCCCGTGGCTATACCATCCCAGGTCAACCTGCAGAGAAGGTCAAAGGTCAGTGTGGGGGGAAAAGAATGTAGGGTTAGGGGGGGGGGAAATAACGGTAATCTACGATACATTTAGAAATTTTCATTAAACATAACATCAAACATAGCATCAACGACAACATCAACCACAACACCAACAATAACATCAACCATTGCATCAACAACAGCATAAACCAAAACAGTGTTTCTTCCAGACTTTTTTCTCCGGGGGGGGGGGCACTTGAAAATTTCGGGGGGGGGTGTATATATTTTCTATATAAATAATATAAATTTCATTTCGTTCGGGGGGGGGGGGGGGTAGAATTTTTTCGGGGGGGCTTTGCCCCCCCCCCCCCCGAAGAGATGCCTGGAAGAAACTCTGAACCAAATATCCACCACAACTTCCACCACAACATACACCACATCATCCATATCAATCACAACATCAACATTAACCAAAAAATCAACTGTAACATTAACCACATCATCAACCACATCAACAACCACACCATCAACCACATAATCAACCATAACATCAATCATAACATCAACCACAACACCAACCACAGCATCAAACAACATCAACCACAAACATCAACCACAACATAAACTTCAACATCAACCATAACGTTAACGTTGCCACGACAACTGCCGCAGGCTGGGCTATTAACCCGATATGAGCAGCATCCGTTCAGGGGAAAAGCAAAAAAAAAAAAAAAAAAAAAAAAAAAAAAAAAAAAAAAAAAAAATCTAAAAAATATCTTTGAAATCTTTTTTTTTTTTAAAAAAAAAGATTAATCCCGCTTCCAAATTTTCAAGAAAGCATTTAAACATGAAAGAAAAAATTGTCTTATCCTATTTTTTTTTTTGTCCTATCTCTTTTTTTTTAAATGTAGCGAGCTGTTGTTGCTGCATTAACCCTATCTAGTCCGTTTTAAAATAAAAACCGCCATTTTGTCTGCCATGGTGAAAAATTCGCCGGACGACGAACAGAATCTCGCACGGTACAGCTGGGGAAAAATTCGCGGGGAATTCTGGTACGATGACGTCAGCAGGGCACTGGTATATTCTAGGAATCAGGGGAAGGTAATGCTACCAATCGTCTGCCGAGAAAGGTAATGCTACTAATCGTGTAAAATCGTTTCCTGTTTCATTCTAGATCATCCGTTAAAGGACAGGGTGGTTTGAAGGCAGAAAAAAAATGTGAACTCTTACTGGTCCCTTCTCCTTTTGAGAAAAAAAAAGCAGTTTATTAACTTTAAAAAATATTATTGATAAAAATAAACACCAAGGCTCGTCCAACGAAACGTTCGAGGTCCGAGACACGTAACTCACCATTTAAAATATTTCCTATACAGAAGAAAAAAAAAACGTTTCTGTTTACGACTCTACAAAGTGCGACTTGTTCCAGAACAAAGATAATTTGTGTGTGAGTCATAGAACTTCAAGGTTCTTAAAAAATAAACTATGACTCATATTCCATGCAGAGAAAAATTTGACAACAAAAAGTCTAAAACCCGTTTCTTAATGATGTCTTGTATGACGTCCAATGTGATAGCTGAGACATTGTGAAACTCGGGGAGATTTTTCTACAAATTCCTCGGCAAGAGAGTATTTTTAACAGATACTTAGGTCGGCTATTATTTTCAACAGATTCCTAGGCCTGCCAATATTTTAACAGATTCCAGGGCATGCTAGTATTTTTAACAGATTCTTAAGTCGGCTATTCTTTCCAAACAGATTCCTAGGCCTGCTAGTATTGATTCCAAACAGATCCTATGCCTGGTAGTATTATTTCCAAACAGATCCTATGCCTGGTAGTATTATTTCCAAACAGATCCTATGCCTGGTAGTATTATTTCCAAACATATTCCTAGACCTGCAAATATTTTATCAAATAGATTCCTAGGCCTGCCAGTATTTTAACAGATTCGCATCCTTGCCAATATTCCACCCAACAGATTCCTAGACCTGCCAATATTCCACCCAACAGATTCCTAGCCCTGCCAATATTCCACCCAACAGATTCCTAGACCTGCCAATATTCCACCCAACAGATTCCCAGCCCTGCCAATATTCCACCCAACAGATTCCTAGACCTGCCAATATTCCACCCAACAGATTCCTAGACCTGCCAATATTCAACTCAACAGATTCCTACACATACCAATATTCCACCCAACAGATTCCTAGACCTGCCAATATTCCACCCAACAGATTCCTAGACCTGCCAATATTCCACCCAACAGATTCCTAGACCTGCCAATATTCAACTCAACAGATTCCTACACATGCCAATATTCCACCCAACAGATTCCCAGCTCTGCCAATATTCCACCCAACAGATTCCCAGCTCTACCAATATTCCACCCAACAGATTCCTAGACCTGCCAATATTCCACCCAACAGATTCCCAGACCTGCCAATATTCCACCCAACAGATTCCTAGACCTGCCAATATTCCACCCAACAGATTCCTAGACCTGCCAATATTCAACTCAACAGATTCCTACACATGCCAATATTCCACCCAACAGATTCCTAGACCTGCCAATATTCATCTCAACAGATTCCTAGACCTGCCAATATTCCACCCAACAGATTCCCAACCCTGCCAATATTCCACCCAACAATTCCCAGCCCTGCCAATATTCCACCCAACAGATTCCTAGACCTGCCAATATTCCACCCAACAGATTCCCAGACCTGCCAATATTCCACCCAACAATTCCCAGCTCTGCCAATATTCCACCCAACAGATTCCTAGACCTGCCAATATTCCACCCAACAGATTCCTAGACCTGCCAATATTCCACCCAACAGATTCCTAGACCTGCCAATATTCCACCCAACAGATTCCTAGCCCTGCCAATATTCCACCCAACAGATTCCTAGACCTGCCAATATTCCACCCAACAGATTCCTAGACCTGCCAATATTCCACCCAACAGATTCCTAGACCTGCCAATATTCCACCCAACAGATTCCTAGACCTGCCAATATTCCACCCAACAGATTCCTAGACCTGCCAATATTCCACCCAACAGATTCCTAGACCTGCCAATATTCCACCCAACAATTCCCAGTCCTGCCAATATTCCACCCAACAGATTCCTAGACCTGCCAATATTCCACCAAACAGATTCCCAGCTCTGCCAATATTCCACCCAACAATACCCAGCCCTGCCAATATTCCACCCAACAGATTCCTAGACCTGCCAATATTCCACCAAACAGATTCCCAGCTCTGCCAATATTCCACCCAACAGATTCCTAGACCTGCCAATATTCCACCAAACAGATTCCCAGCTCTGCCAATATTCCACCAAACAGATTCCCAGCTCTGCCAATATTCCACCCAACAGATTCCTAGACCTGCCAATATTCCACCAAACAGATTCCCAGCTCTGCCAATATTCCACCCAACAATACCCAGCCCTGCCAATATTCCACCCAACAGATTCCCAGCTCTGCCAATATTCCACCAAACAGATTCCCAGCTCTGCCAATATTCCACCAAACAGATTCCCAGCTCTGCCAATATTCCACCCAACAGATTCCTAGACCTGCCAATATTCCACCAAACAGATTCCCAGCTCTGCCAATATTCCACCAAACAGATTCCCAACCCTGCCAATATTCCACCCAACAGATTCCCAGCTCTGCCAATATTCCACCCAACAGATTCCCAACCCTGCCAATATTCCACCCAACAGATTCCCAACCCTGCCAATATTCCACCCAACAGATTCCCAACCCTGCCAATATTCCACCCAACAGATTCCCAACCCTGCCAATATTCCACCCAACAGATTCCCAACCCTGCCAATATTCCACCCAACAGATTCCCAACCCTGCCAATATTCCACCCAACAGATTCCCAACCCTGCCAATATTCCACCCAACAGATTCCCAACCCTGCCAATATTCCACCCAACAGATTCCCAACCCTGCCAATATTCCACCCAACAGATTCCCAACCCTGCCAATATTCCACCCAACAGATTCCCAACCCTGCCAATATTCCACCCAACAGATTCCCAACCCTGCCAATATTCCACCCAACAGATTCCTAGACCTGCCAATATTCCACCCAACAGATTCCCAACCCTGCCAATATTCCACCCAACAGATTCCCAACCCTGCCAATATTCCACCCAACAGATTCCCAACCCTGCCAATATTCCACCCAACAGATTCCCAACCCTGCCAATATTCCACCCAACAGATTCCTAGACCTGCCAATATTCCACCCAACAGATTCCCAACCCTGCCAATATTCCACCCAACAGATTCCCAGCTCTGCCAATATTCCACCCAACAGATTCCTAGACCTGCCAATATTCCACCCAACAGATTCCCAACCCTGCCAATATTCCACCCAACAGATTCCTAGACCTGCCAATATTCCACCCAACAACTCCCAGACCTGCCAATATTCCATATTCCACCCAACAATTCCCAGCCCTGCCAATATTCCACCCAACAATTCCCAACCCCTGCAGGTATAACAGAAAACGTTTTCTTTCTCCAGACAAATTGATCTCCGACCCGGAGCAGGAAGGGGCCATAATCCAACAACAGGAAGGTCAAAGGTCATTTGAATTTATTTTTTATTTTTCCGTTGTTTTTTTTTCGAAGTTTTGGGTGTACATGGTATTGATGCCCATGCAATTTATACAAATTCATTTTAAAACTCTCACAGAATATATTTGAAAAAAGTTTTGATTGAATATTTTTTAAAACTACCAACGGCCCATACACCACTGAATCTGTAACATGACTAATGTAACTAAATCCCAGCAAGAGAAATGTTTTTAAAAAAATGTTAGTTTATCATGCCCTAAAGCATCGTGTTTTATAAACACCTTTTAGAAAGTGCTTGAATTTTTTTTATAGTGCCATGTTTTTTAAGCAACTCATGAGCTTTGTTTTTCGGCATTTAAGCTACATATAATGCAGTTATTGTTTTACTCAAAGACCTCACACACTAGTGGATGTTGAACAGAA